ATGTTTAAAAAGTCCACTGTTGGGGAGCGGGATGGGGAATACATGTAAATCCATGGCTAATTCATGTCAATATATGACAAAAACCACTACAATATTGTGAAGTAATTAGCTTCCAACTAATAAAAATAAATGAAAAAAAAAAAAAGTCCACTGTTGACTCTCACCTCAGGGTAGAGTCCAACCCCTCAGCCAGTACCTGAGGCCCTGCCTCTTTAGCCCTTTTTCCCTTCCTCCAGCCTTACCCCACAGCCATATACTGTTCTGACTACTTCCCTAAATGGGTTTCCTGTTGTAGCAGCTCTCTGCTCTTTCATCAGCCAGAACATCTTCCTCCCGTGCCCGGATCCTGCTCCTCGTCTGCCTGCTCTCTCCTGGGTCACCTCTCCTGGGAAACCACTCTGGCCACCCAAGCAGAGCTCACATTTCCTGCTCTCACCCTACCCTGTGTGTGTACTATTTTTATGCCTCCAATGACATTGCCGTGATGTTTGCACTTCTCTCTCCTGAGTCATTTGAGGATTAGGCAGGTTGTTAATCATCCTATTTACTCAGCATCCATCCAGCACAGTCCTGGATAAATATTTATGGAGTGAAGTGGGGAATGAATGAATGTGAGTTCTGGGCTCTCACACCAGCAGAACATCTGCTCTTAGCACCTGGTAGCTCCAACCTGCCCCGGACTGACAGAGCCCACCTTCTTCTCCCTGGGGTATCTCTCCTTCCTCATTAGCAACCCTCACTCTTTCTGTCCACCCCCCCATCTCTGTGATTGGAGCCTCCATCTCTGCAGGGACAGAGGCCAGGACCGTGGGCATCTTTTTTCTCCCATAGGAACTCATTGAGTGCCATCAATCTTACCACCTGGCTGGCTCTTACCTTGTTTTCCCTCCTGCCGTCTTTCACTCTCACTCTCCCTTGGATGTCTGTCCCAGCTTCCCCATCCTTATCCCAATAAAAAGCTCCCCAGTGGCTTCTATTTCCTCCAGTTAAAGTCAAACCTCTTTCCAGGGATCCAGCCCTGATCCAGCCCTGGTCTCTCTCCCCAGCTTCATCTCTCCTCCATCCCTCCTCTTTTATCCTTTTTAGGAGCAACCTGATGAGTTCTTTCTTGCTTCTGTGCCTCTTGCATGCTGTTTGTTTCATCTAGAAAATATTTTAACCTTTTGCTTCCCTAACTCATTCATGAAGCCTTAAAAGACACTTCCTCCAGGAAGCCTTCCCTAACTCCCCAAGGCCCAATTAGGCCCCTCCGAGGTAAAGTCTCATGCTCCCCAAACTTTCAATTCAACATACCCCTTCTCATGTCATATTTAATTGCTTACTTAATTGTGCTCTCTCAGCAGACTGTAAGTTGAATGTGAAACAAGAGTGGCTTGTTTAACATTCTGAACATGAACACTCCTCCAATATCCAGTAAAAAATTAAGTACTAGGACTTCCCTGATGGTCCAGTGGTTAAGACTTCACCTTCCAGTGCTGGGGTGGAGGTTTGATCCCTGGTCAGGGAGCTAAGATTTCACATGCCTCATGCCCAAAAAACCAAATATAAAACAGAAGCAATATTGTGGTAAATTCAATAAAGATTTTAAAGATGAACCACAACCTAGATGTCTATCAGCAGATGAATGGATACATATACATAATGGAATATTACTCAGGTATAAAAAGGAATGCATTTGAATCAGTTCTAATGAGATGGATGAAACTGGAGCCTATTATTTAGAGTGAAATAAGTCAGAAAGAGAAAGACAAATACTGCATATTAATGCATATATAAATTAAGTTCTCAATAGCTGGCCAGCATTCAGTAAGCAAATAGATGAATGAATGTTTGCTTTTCCTTTTGCTGTTGGAGATGCTGATTCAATTTTTGGAACCAGACAAGACACCTAGTTCTTCATTTTCTGGAGCCCAGGAATCGGGGAGCATCATTGCAGTGGTGCTGCCCTCTACTCCTACCCTGGCAGCAGAAGGCCCCAGAGCAGGCTCTTGGAGGCAAGGCAGTTGTGCTGGGCCTTTCCGGGGTGCTTTTCTTCTGGCCGCCTCTCCAAGTATTCACAAGCAACTTCCCCATCAGTCACGAGTTTTTCCAAGAGTTATAGGAACCTACCCTGAAGAGTAAGGGAAGTTCTCTGCATGTTTCTACACACTGCCTTTAAGATATTCTCAGAGTTCTTGTGTTTAAGGTCTCAGGACTGAAACTTTGAGTGAAATCAAGTTCCCTGTCGAGATGCTGCTGGACTGAGCTCAGGATGGCTTTCTACCTGTGCCCCCTCGCCACACCTCCCGCAAGTGAGGACAGAAACATAGTGTTGTTTGGGCTGGGCAGGCAGTCATGCAGAGTGGGGGCTGTGAAATGTGCAATGGGCTGAGTCAGGGTCAGAGAAATCCGGCCCCCCGGGGTGGTTGGAAGGTGGCTGAATAAGCCAGGCTGGTGGGATGGATTGGAGTGTTGATCAGTCTCTTTTAGTCTCTCCTCCCTTCTTCCCCCTCCCTCTCAGGGCTGTATTTTCTGTCTCACTGACTTTGGACTTGGTCACGTGATATGTGTTGGCCACTGGAATGTGAGCAGATATGATAAGAACAGAAGCTTTAAATGTGTTCCTGTGGTTCTTCCCTCTTACAGTCTTTTCACTCACAAAAAGGATATGCCTCAGGTCACCCTTCAGCCTGGTTCCCCAAACATACATTTTGAAACAGCTTTGTTAGAGATGGTTATTCATTATATGAGCAGAGATGTGTATGATTGGGGGGTTCAGGGAGCAATTTGGGTTGGAAATCTATATTGGAGGGGTCAACAGATGCATAGCATGCAACCTTTGAGAGAAATGAGCTCACTGAGGTGTGGGTATAGATGGGAAAAAAGTTCACGTAGTGCGTCCTGGTTTTTTCTAAAGTTTAAAATTTAGGGAGATGAGATGGAGTCAGCAAGGATATGGAGATGGGGCAGAAAGACAGGCAAACAACCATGCCAGCAAGGAGTCCTGGGGGCCAAGTGGAGCGTGGGCCTGGAGCTGGAGAAAGTAATCAAATGTGTCCAAAGTGAAATGACAGGCGGAACTGACCAGTGGGTTCAGTGACAGCAATGTCATTGATGTCCTTGATAAGAATATATTTGGGGGAGTCATGGGATCAGAAGATCAAAGAAAGAGATTCAGAAGAGAATAATAAGACAGATATTTGCAAGTACAGACAATTCTTATGTAAACTTTGCTCAGAAATGAAGGAGAGAAATAGAGCCATAGCCAAAGGGGGAAGAAGCATCAACAGAGATTTTGTAAAGCTATAGGATGAAAAAGAATAAGTTTGAATGCTGGTAGGAATGAGCCAAAAGAGAAGAAATTGATGATGCAGTGAAGATGGAAGAGTGGTGACACGATTCATCTTTTGTAGCCAGGAGAAGATTGAGTGTGTGAGCTTTCCTGCGTGGAGGTGGGACCTTCAGTGGTGGGAGCTTACAGACATTCTCCTCCATTGCATCAACTTTCTCAGTGAAACAGGAAGCCAGGTCACCAACAGAGTGAGCATGTGGGAAGCAAAGAAAAAAGTACAGCAGAGTCTTCTAGGAGAGTGGAGGAAAGAATGAACCAAAGGTTTGCAGCTAGTATGCTGGCCAGTAGCAACTCTTGTGAGCATTCTTACCTATTGCTTTATTAGCCCCCTTACCTTATGGGCTCACTAGTCTTATTACCTGCTACCTTTATTAAGCCTCACGCTAGCCCTGTGAAGTAGGTCCTATTGTTTACCTCACTTACAGATGAGACTATAATTACAGAGTAGTCAAGAAACTTGTCCAAACTCACACAGTGAGAAAGTGGTTGGGCCCGGATTTGAACACAAGCAGTCTGGCTCTGGGCCCAAGTACTTAAGCATTAAGTTAGTGCAGCCCAGCTGAACATATGAAAGCCTGTCACGGAACCAGACTAAATGGAATAAGGATTGAGACACGTTTGTGGTGCACCCACTGTGTGTACTAGATGCCATCACAGCTCTGTGCAGTCATGGTTATTATCAACCCATTTTACTGCTGAGGATACTGAGGCCCAGAGAGATTCAGTTGCTTATTAAAAGCTATAGCGCTAAAAAGTGGAAGAACTGAGTTTTGAACCCTTATCAGTCTGATTCCCAAATGCACAGCCTGTACACAAGGTCAAAGAACCATTGTAACACCTAAGTGGGTCTACTTAGGTAACATTGACTTAAATACATCAGAATCCTCCTGACATCAGGTTGAGATCACTTGGAACCTTTACCCAGAGCAGGTGGAGAATTTACTATGTGGGCCTTATAGCAGGAAGAACTCAAAGAGGGTGGCTTTGGGGGAGTGCTGATTGTCTTACTGATCATTTTTGGAAGCACAGTCTGTTCAGTGAGAAAGGAGGTTTAGAGGTATATGGCTAGAGTCTTCGAATTTTAATCAAACCTATAAGTTTTATAGCCCAAGAGCACTTACTCTACTTATATAAGCATTTCTAAAATCTATTCTCTGAAGAAAGAGCTTCAGAGCTCAATGTATCATCTACACTGAACAGCCACCCACTTCCTCAAATGCAAGGAAGCAGACAGTTAAAAAAAAAAGCCAAGAGGCAGCCGTTGTTTATCACGACCTCGCCTCAGTGAGGCCTGAGATTCTTTCGAACAGGAGCTTTGCTTCCCATGACGCACAGCGAAGTGTCAACTGGGATATTTCTGGTAATACTGAAAGCAAGAGAAGCAGGGTGTTCACTTCACAGGGCACCAGCCCCCCGAGGGACCGTGGGAGGGCTTGGGTGCCATGCCCCATGACAGATGGATGGACCTTTCATCTGAGAAAGGAGAAGATACTTGGGCAGATCAACCTCAAACCCAAGATTGCTTGTGAAGCAATCGTGAAGGGGAAACACACACACACACACACACACACACACACGCTCGAGAGGCAAGAAGATCAAAAAGCCAAGAAGAGAGCGAATTGTGGCAGACTCCCCGCTTCAGCAGCGACTCACCCAGACCAGGAGCAAAATGTCCCTGAAGTTGCCAAGAAACTGGGATTTCAACCTGCGAGGGGAGGCTGGCAAAATAGGTACGGTCAACGTCTTTTTGCTGCTTTGTGGTTCTTACGCTTGAGTTCCCACCATTTGCATGTTGGTCTGCAGTAAGCATAATCTGCTTAAAAGTGGATCTCTGGGCAAAGCTGGGTTTGGGGTGAAATTTGCATTCAGACTTTGGCTCAAAGTCCCCAAGCGCCAGGGAAGGCTTCTTTTTTTTGGTTTGTTTGGAGGTGGTGGGAATGGAGCTCCTTGGCGTGTGGGATCTGGGGTACTTGGCGTGGACTAAGGCTACAGATCTCACAAAACATGGTGAGTTTTTCTCTGTTTATCTTGGAAGGATAATTTCCCTCCTGTTTGGACACATCCATGTATGAGTGGGTTTTGCCAGAGTCTTGGAAGTGCTTGATCTGTTCTGTTTTGTGAGCCCACTGGGTGGCCAGACCTTTGTGGACTTGGGGCTGAAATGGTGTTACCTGTAGCAAAAAGTAAACAGTGTGGACAAGACAGGAATATAGAGACATTTGACGGTATAATAAAGACACTTTTAATTAAAAAGGACAGAATGGGAGGGAAATCTAGAGGAGTTGAAATAGATGCATTATAAATAAATTAAATTAAGGGGCTCTGGTATGCTTTCTGAGATACTCTGGCCTTTCATTTTTGCCTCTTCTCATTAACAATATTGGTGATATATTGATTTTTTAAAATAAATTGTTATTGAAATACAGTTGATTTATAATGTTGTGTTAGTTTCAGGTATACAGCAAAATGATTCAGTTGTGTGTTTGTGTATATATATATATATTCTTTTTTTTGCATCATCTTCCACTATAGGTTATGATAAAATACTGAGTATACATTTATATCATTTTTTTAAGATTCCACATAGAACCAATATCATGTGATATTTGTCTTCCTTTGGCTTACTTTACTTAGTATGATTATCTCCAGGTCCACCATGTGATCCTTTGATTTTAATCTGTTCCATAATTGTTATCATCAATTTCTTAATATGGGTTAGTTCTATAATTAAACTGATCACAGTAATGTACAATAGAGCAATTGGGTTGGAAATGATTTCTTGTGTTTTACCCCATACACGTATAGTGAGATAACGTCCTTGATACTAGACATAAACAAGTGTTAAGGTGTTTCTAATGACTCAGAAATGTTCAGTTTGGAACAGGTCTAACTTGGACTTCTAATGATGGTTAATGTACTACTGAAACAAAGGATTTGTTGCAAAAAGTCACATATCTGAGTGTTAATGATACAGGTCTAAGAAAAGATTTGAAAAAAAATTGAGAGTGATCAGAGAAGCCATTTATCTTGGTAACCAGAGAGGATTAGTGGTCTCTAATCAAGCTGGGAATTATTGCAGGTTGGTTCAGAGAATAAGGAGAGATTTTATATAATCAGAGATTTTTCTCCTAACCACTGTTGATAGCAAGGTACTTGGCTAATGCTCAGTCTATTGTATGCCATAAAAATTTGCTTTTAGAAGTAAAACTTCTATGGTTCTGTTCCTTTGAAAGTGTCTTGCTTCTATTTATTTGGGGTCATTCTACCCTCTCCTCATCTGTGTTTCAGTCTTATTCTCCTTCTGTTTAAAAAATGGGAAATGAGACATTTAATGGTTAAATGATTAATTGATTAAATAATTAAGGTTTTTTTTTCCAGGGATATAGGACTGTATCACATTAGAGTGCAGGTCTACATAATCTCAGACTTGGGATTAGGTTGGGTAGACTTCATGTGATATCAACCAATGTTTCTTAAACCACAGTCCTCTAGTTAGCCTGTGTCAGAAGTCACCACAAGTGCTAGGTAAAAATACAGATTCCTGAGCATCATCCTGACTTGTAAAATCAGAATCTCTGAAGGGAGACCCAAGCAGCTGCAATTTAATAAGCCCCCAGCCCTCCATCTCACCTCATCAAGAAGTCCTGCTGTAGGTGCTATGGTCTGAGTCAGTGGACTTGGGAAATCGCCATTCATCTTATACATCATGGTGCTTGGTCAAAAATATTTGTTGACTGAATGAACGATTGAGTACAATCAGATGATATTGTTTAGTACTATTTAATGAAAATATCAGGCTTCCCTGTTGGATCAGTGGTAAAGAATCCACCTGCCAAACAAGAGATGAGGGTTCAATCCCTGGGTCAGGAAGATCACCTGGAGAAGAAAAAGGCAACCCACTCCAGAATCCTTGCCTGGGAAATCCCATGGACGGAGGAACCTGGTGGGTTATAGTCCATGGGGTTGCAAAAGAGTTGGACATGACTTAGCAACTAAACAACAGTAATAGGGAAAAAATCTTAATCACAAAATGAAATGCAAAGGAGCTCTTGTCATTATCTATGCCGTTTACAAGTCTGTCACCCCAAGGATTGGACTGCAGCCAGAGTACTTTTCATGAGTATCACACTGGTGAGAATTCAAATCACAAGCTGAGCCCTCGGAGGGAGGAGAGCCACTGACTCAGCCATGGGACTTCTGGTTCCCTCTCCAGCATCCTGGGTCCAGGTGTGACTGTAGGAACTGGCTTAAGAATAACCAAAGAGTCGTGTCAGGGTGTCAATGACCTGTAGTTTCTCCAGCCTGGGCTAGTCAGGAATAGATCAGTTTCTCAAGCTGGACACTACAAATTTTTGTGCTGGTTGATTCTTGTGATGGGGGTTATCCTCTGCATTGTAGCAATGGTCCTCAACCTTTTTGGCACCAGGGACTAGTTACATGGGAGACAGTTTTTCCATGGGCTGAGTGGGGGATGGCTTTGGGATGATTCAAGTATGTTACATTTTTTTGTCCCTTTTATGTCTATTATTATTACACTGTGATAATGTGGTAATGTGAGCAATGGGGAGCGGCTCTAAACACAGATGAAGCTTCCCTCACTCGCTCACCTCCTGCTGTGTGACTGGGTTCTTAAGTGACTGGTTAAGCCTGGGGGTTGGTGACTGGTATGCTGTCCAGTATGATGACCAGTACTGGTCCATGGCCTGGGGTTTGGGGACCCCTGCATTCTAGGATATTAGTAGCATCCTCGGCCTCTATCCAGTAGATGGTGGTAGCACTCCCCTACCACCACTAGTGTGACAACCATACATATCTCCAGACATTACTAGATGTTTTGGGAAGAGATATCTCTCCTAGTTGAAAACCACTGAAGCGGATTATCATCAAGAAGGTGTGGTTATCAGACCACTTGTATCTGGAATTCAGCTACCACTTCATGATTCATTGTCAAGGGCAACTTTCAAGAGGCTCTTAGTAAGTTATAACTTCAGAGGATGGACAGTACCCTAGACGGACACCAGGTTCAGCACTTGTTTAGGGAAATAGCAAGACAATGATGTGGCCCGGGAAAGGGCCCAATATCTTTTTGCTGAGTGGCACTTTTGGTTCCCCTAAATCTTATCTTGTGAGTGCTGAGCCAAGGCTTGAATGAAAGTGAAAATCTCCAGTGTGGGGGGCGACTCTGTACTTCCATCTCAGAGACTGAGGAGAGCCCAGTGAATGGGAGGTGGACGAAAGATCACACCATGGGTCTGGATGTATGGGAGAACCTGACCCAGGCCACCCTGAACCTGATCTATTGGTCTTGGGAGGGAACAGGGGTTGGAGGTAAGGGAAATGCTGAGCCAACGACTTGAGATGGAGCCAAAAGCACACATTTCTTCCTTTGATACTTTGTCATCTTCAGTTTTAGTACAACACTTAAAATTGCAACAGCTTTCCATTGCTTTCTTGCAGTGTTTTGTCTTATTCTTTGCAAATATGTTCTATCACTTATTTGTCTAACAGAATTGTAAGCCCTGAAGGGTGGTTTTAGAATGCAGTATCCTTTCTTGCACTCTGTCCAAGGGTCTGGCACATCCAGTGGATGGAATGCAGGTGCTCTATTGAGAAGGTATTGACCATTGAGGGAAAGCCCCTTCTGCCCTGTGGCTGGAGAGTGCTTAGTTAGAAGATGACTGGGTGAATTTCAGGACTACATTGTATCCATCCAGTTGCAGGCACATCTTACTTTGTTCTCAGGTACCCTAAGCCGAACTAGGGGATAATGGGCCCTAGAGAGCAAATGACTCTGAGATACATTTTTTAAAAGAAGTAACTATGGAGGGGTAGTGTTTTCAACTTTCTTTTGTATGTGGACACATATTTTTAAAATTTTTATTGGAATATAGTTGCTTTACAATGCTGTGTTAGCTTCTATTGTACGCCCAAGTGAATGAGCTATACTTTAAAACAAATTTATTTTTATTTATATTTTGACTGTGGTAGTATGTGGGATCTTAGTCCCTTCACCTAGGGATCAAAACTGAAGCCCCTTCAGTGGGAGTGCAGAATCTTAACCACTGGACTGAGACGGAAGTCCACTCAACTTTTTTTTCTTGCTGAAATTTAATATTGAGAAAAACTTATTCAGAAACAAGCATTCATTGTTTTAATCTCCCAAGTAGTAAAGTGAATAATGACAGTATAGGAGGGTTTTTTCCCCCACTTGATAAATCATTATTTTTCTGATATGGAATCTAGTTTTGTCCTTTAGAAAATTAGCATAAGGAGAATAAAAATATTTGTTACTTAAGACCCTGGAAGTAGATCAATTTCCAGTGTAGGTTATTATTCTTGTTTAAAGAAGTTAGATTTGAAAGTATAGTTTTAGCTAGATAGATGCATAGATAGATAGATCCACAGAGACAGAGAAAACTGAATATATAAATAAGTCCAAGAAACCATAAAAATGCTTTAAAAAATGAACAAACAACATGAATAGGCATTTTACAGAATAGGAATAATGATTCCAATAAATACATAGAAAAATGGTTAATCACAGTAATTAGGAAATGTAAAAGTACAATGATATACCTAATCTCACCCACCAAAACGGTTAAAAGTAAAAAGTCTGTTGTTGAGGACGGGGAGTGATAGGGACTGTCAGACACTAGTAACAACTTTGGAAAACAATTTGACATTCAGTTTAGTGAAACTGATGAAAACTTAGTTGATGAAATTGATGAAA